CCCCCACCACTCCCCCACCCATTGGGGATCGAATCCAGGGCCTTTACACTGAACTACATCCTCATTTTAAATTTTGAGACAAAGTCTCACTAACTTGCCCAGGCTAGGCTTGAACTAGCAACCCTCCTGCCTCAGCCTCCTAGGGTGCTGGGATTACAGGTGTGCACCGCCATCCTTGGTTTAAATGATAAAAGTTCCTGGAGTGGAGGCTGCCTAGAACTCCCAAGGGTATGGGAGGCAGGCCACTGGCAGTTGCCTCAAGGCGGATGCTTGTCTGGATTTTCCAGACCCCAAGCACCGCAATGATCATCAGGTAAGAAACCAGAGCTGCTGCCTTCAGGTGGGTGGCAAGGCCCAGAGGGAGAGGCTGGTGGGTGTGGCCAGGGGAGGATGGGTGTGGTCAGAGCATGGCCAAGAGAGGGTGACACCCCAGGGCTTGACCAGTGGGCGTGGCCGGAAGGCCAGGTCCTTACGTCCCATTGATGGCACGGACGCTAGCCACGCGGTCCTGGAAGCCGTGAGCCCACAGGCTGGGCACGTCGTCATCTACGATCTCCATCTTGCGGCCGCTAAAGCCGGGGCTCTCAAATAGGTGCAGCTTGTGGTCCGGGCCATCCTGTGGGGGGCGAGAGTCTGGTGAGCCCGCTGCTCCCGCGCCAGTAAGGAGGCGCACACAAGAGGCCAGAAGTGGGGGAAGAGGGGTGCTGGGATCGTTGGGAAACTTACGGGGGGAGCTATCTCAGAGTTACTTTGTGTAGTTATTTGCTGGGCTACATTCCTATACCCCAGTGCAGATCTGAGACTGGACTGTGGGGCTTCTAATTTAATAGGATTACAAAGGGAAGTCCCAGGGTCAGCTGAGCTGACTAGGGATGTCAACCTTGACCCGCATTCGATGGCCATTCAGTAGCCAACCTCTAGTCCCACAGGATCATTTAGGCCACAGATGTGTGTGGGGAGGGGGGCTGGGGGGCTTCCCAGGTGCTCCTGAGTCAGCTCCGTGGCCCTGCCCCCAGGGCTCCCTGGATAGGTGGGACCCCAACTCACAACGTGCAGAGGCCGCAGGGACAGCAGGCTGTCGCTGCGGCGGCTGCTGGACCAGGCGTCCCAGCGCGGGTAGTCCCCCTTCTCCAAGACAAACTGCTCCCCGCGGAAGGCCCTGCGTTCAAACGCCAGCCATCTGGGGGAGAAAGGGGCCAAGGTCACCTGTTTGTCAGCCAGGGGACCCAGGTCAAGGGAGGACAGGCCCATGCGCTGCCGACCTCCACTTGGCACCCTCCCCATCCCCAAGCTGAGCTGCCTTGGAGGAGCTACAGGACCTACTGGGCACATAGGGGACCCTAGGCCAGGAGAACGCCCAGACAGATGTCACTAAGATGGATTTGATGTCCACCTCTGTGTAGGATGCTTGGAAAGGTCCTGGCAACATGGGACAGGAAGTCAGGACTCCTGACCTCCCTCCTCTTCACTCTGCTCTCTGTCTCTCAGTTCATCTTTACAAACTCTTCTTCTGACACAGGACCACTGTGACCCTCCACTGGACTGGGGAGAGGAGGCCCGGGGAGCGCGCAGCTTCCCAAGACCATGCAGACAGGGCCACGGCCTGCACTGCCCCTCTGCCAGCAGGGATGCAGAACCAGGCTGTGACCCCTGCTTGCCCGTGGGCACAGGAGGGACACCTAACACTTTGTCCTCAGCTTCCTCATCTATAAGAGAAGATAAAGACAGCATCTTCCTTACAGGATGAGGGCTCTTGATTGATATAATTTACAGTAAATTCCATGTGACTGCCTGTAATCCTACCACTCTGGGATGCTGAGGCAGGAGGACCCCAAGTTTGACCTCAGCTTGGGCAACTTCGTGACTTAGTGAAAGCTTGTTTCAAAATTTTAACAAATTAAAAAAGGGCTGGGAATGTAGCTCATTTATAATTTTTCAAAATTGTAAATATTAAATTCCATTGATATATATGTCGATTGATAATTCAGAGAGGTGCTGGGCTGTCTTTCTCTGCCCCCTCTCTCCCTAGTACTCTGCCTTTCACCATGGAAAGCAAGAGCTCGAAGGATGCCTAAAGGAATTACAAGTCCATGCTCATGAGCAGATGTGTAAACTGAGGCCAGAGAAGGGATGGGAATTACCTAAGGCCTTGTAGCAAATTCTGAGTTTTTTTCAGGTTTTTTTTTTCACAGAACCGGGGATTGAACTCAGGTCCTTGCACTTGCCAGGAAAGCGCTGATTTCACTGAGCCATCTCCCTGGCCTGCAAATTCTGACGTGTAAGCAGGCTCCCACGCCCTGGGCCCAGTCCTGGCAGGCTCAGATACTCACGGGCCCGACTCCACTTGGATGGAGCCCACCTTCTCCAGCAGCCCGTCCGTCAGGCTGGGACACTCGGCTGAGAGCTCGCACCGCTTGCCCTGGAAGTTCTCCAGCTCATACACGGTCACCTAAAAGAGCAGCCTCCTGAACACCCCAGGCTTGGGGAGCTGGGGAGCCAGCCTGCCCTCAGCCCTCGGTGCGCCCGCACTGCCCCCTGGTGGTCACACAGAGACCAGTTGATCCCAGACCAACTGGAGGGAATCGCCTGTCCAAGAGACCGTTGGTCACCAGAGCTGCGGGCAGGGTCCCTAAGGATCAGGCCTAAGGTTAGCAGGTCTGCAGGCTGCCTTCCTCGCCGGTTCTCCTGTCCTGAAGATGCTTCCGGGACGCCCTCAGAACCCAAACCTAGTCACTAGCAATTGGGAGGGCTGAGGCAGGAAGATCTCAAGTTGGAACTTGAGGTGTGCAACTTAGCAAGATTTTTAAAAAAAACAACAAACCAATAGGTCAGGAGACAATTGGGGCCATAGCTCAGAGGTGAAGGCTCTAGATTCAATCTCCAGTACCACAAAGAAAAAAAAAATCTTGCTCCCATTTTCTCCTCAGGCTCCTCCTAAGGGCCCTAGAGGCAACCACCCCCACCCCTGAGCTCACACGCTGCATGTGGGGGCCTGGAGTGTGGGTCACTGGACCCAGAGCAGATGAGACCCCAAGCTTAGGTAAGTCAGAAGGGAGAGAGTGTGAAGTTGCTCTCCTGCCTCCCTCCTGCCTCTGGCTTCTGGAGTCTTGTGGACAGACACGTGTAAGGGAAGTTGCCCAGCCTGTTCTCCGCTATGGTGGGGAGGGCACTACTGCTTTTTGCACTGCTCCAGAATTGGAGCTCTAAGGACCCATTCTGCCTGGTACCTTGTAACCACCCCCGAGGCCTCCGTGGCTCTTGCCAGCTGCAGCCTGCTCTGGTGTTCCGTGTTGTTCCGCCATCTCTCAGGATCACTCTGGCTTCAAAGCAAAGGACAATAGGTCACCAGGGCCAGTTCAGCAGACCCAAGTGTTGATGTCATTGGAGCAAAGGATGTGGTCATGACTGCCTATGGGATGTGGTCATGACTCATGAATGACATTGATCATTCAGTCACTCAACAAACACCCACTGAACATCTACCATGGGTCATGTAGACTGTGACAGTCAGTGGGATGAGAGCCCCATTTTACAGAGGGAACTGAGGCCCAGCAAAGTAAAACCACTTCTCTAAGGCACACAGTGAGGAAGAGGCCCAAGCCAATGCTCTTTCCCAGGCCCCTCTGCTCCCCCAAAATGGGGTCTTGGAGCCTCCTGCAGACGTGTGACCCCTGGATCCACCCACAGTCTGGCTGTGGGGGTTTCTTCCCACATCTCTCCAACCTCCACACTAGAAGGACAGTCTTTGCTTACTGGTCACCTTCTTTCCCAGTGACTCTGTGAGGACCCGCTCAGTGCTAGGTCCTGGGTCAGGTGACAAGGGTGAATGGCAGGCCATCCCCTGCTGGTGGGAGGGGACAAACAGATGGCATTCAGAGGAAGGACATGTGAGAGAACAGTCCCTGGAACACCCACTTCCTGTCAGAGTTAGGCTGTCAGCTATTCATGCTATGAACTCTTACTGCACACTTATGTGTGCCAGCCCCTTCAAGACACAGACCCAGGCACCCAGGTCCCCTTCATTGGGCACAGTGACATGCAGCCCAGGTCCCCGCACATGTCACAGGGAAGGAACCCTGAAAGTGGCCGGCATGGGCACACCCAGGGATGTTCTGTGTATGGCACACAGATGTGTGCAATCCTGTGGACACGCGCAGGGGTACACAAGGTACCCACATCCCACCCCCTGTCCCCGCACCACCATCCCCTGCCCACGACTTCCTGCACACCTGGCTCGTGCGGCCATGGGGCCCATGTGCTGTGCTCACCCGACTGGCGTGCCAAAGCAGCCCCAGTCCTGATGGTGGGGACTCTTGGGGGACTGGGCAGGTCTTAGTTTCCCCTTTCCTTCCTCAGAGCTGCTCAGCCTTGAGGCTCTGACCCTGGCCACCCACTGTAGCGCAGATAGTACAGCCCAGCCCCCAGCTGGGTCTGGTGGCAGAAGTGTCCTGTTGTTTGGCCCCACCTTCAGGGTCCCCAGCCTTAGTTGGGGGGCCAGCCCTGTGCCCCCAGAAGGTCACCAAACTCCTTGGATCAGGGTGGCCTGACCTCCCCCACCCAGCCCATCTCTCAAGGAACCTGTGCTGTAGCCTCAGGACAGGACAGACAGAAGAGCCGGAAGACGTCTGCACACGCGGCCTTTCCCGGTGACTGTCCTTTTTATGGGCCTGTTCTGACAGCCCAGCACATCGTGGCGTGCTGAGGCAGCGCCCTGTCCCCCTGATTGTGTCCGGACCACTTCACTCCAATAGCAGCATCCGGAGGCCCCCGGCCTGTCTTCTCAGCATGGCCTCTGATGACTTCGCAGGCCCTCAATGCTCCATGGGAGGTGGTAGCGCTGGGCAGGGGCAGGGGCAGGGTCAGAGGGGATAAAAGTTTCCGGTGCCCCCTGTGCCCTTTCTCTGGCTTTTTGATGCTACCGTTTTTCAGTCGGGGTGCAAGGCATCCTTGCAAAGGCTGCAGTTCTTATCATAAGGGACCCCAGAATCCTTCCAGTTTGTGTGTGCCAAATGCCCTAAATTTTCAGTACAGTCACTGAGAACAAACTTGGGAAGTTAAATATTTTCCTTTGGCAGCATCCTTGACACTAGCTGTCTGTGCAAGGCTCTGCCCAGCTTTTCAGCACTGTTTAATTCTCACCCAGCCGTCCTCAGGGGAGGGATTGCTAGAACCTTCATCCTATGGAGAAACTGTGCTCAGAGAGGTGAAGTCACTCAGCCAAGGCCACCCAGCTGAGCAGAGGGGAAGCTGGCCTTTTCCAGGCTTGAGACTTTAGCCTCAGCAGCAATAAAGATGATCATGATGGTCAGCTTATTCATGACCAGTAAGTAGACACTAAGTCCAGGCATTTTGAGTATCTGACCAAAATATGGTTTTCTCTGGTAAGTATTTTATTAATAATCACTGAGTGAATAAAAGGCTGAGGGGACAAAGGAAGAAATTGAAAAGAACAGTTTCTTGTGTTATTTGCTGTGGGTAAAAAGACTCAAGTTGGAGTAAACCTCTGGGGACAGAGGTGGGTGAGAGCTGCTCTCTGGCGTTGGGTGCAGGCAGGGACCCCAGCTCAGCTCTGAAGGACTCCCAGCTGCATTCTCCCCTTCAGCTCCCTGCTAGAGCCAGTGAGGGATCCTGGGAGCACCGAACCAGGCTGGCCTCCACCATGTGACTTGGGATGCGGTCATCCCCAGCTGGGTGCATGGGGAGGGAGGGAGAGGGTTGGGGGGGGGACAGTGGCCCCCTCCCAAAGTGTCCCTTTAGGTTCTGAGAACCTGTATGCACTTAGTACTTTTGTGTGACTCAACTTGGTGACTCAGAGTTCTGGACCTCGGCACAGCTGGCATCGGGAGCCAGGTCTGGCTTCATGCGGGGCAGGCATGGAGTGGGGGCCACTGAGCAGCGTCCCTTGGCCTCTCCTCACCAGACATCTGGAGCATCGCCTTCCCCATGATCACCGCTGGACAGCACAGTCTGCCAGGCTGAGAACCTCTGGCCTGGACCCTTGCCCAACCCCCACCCCATCTCCCACTTTATAGCAAAGACACCTGTGACACCCCCAAGCAGGTGGTGGCAGTCAGAGTCCCTTGTTCTGAACCTGCCATGTCTCCATGGCCTCCTGCTGTGGACAACACATGATCCCAGGACCCCAGCTCCCTCCCATTGCGGGCCCACAGCTCAGCACAGGGGAGGGACTGATTCAGCAGCAGGAGAGGGCACCAGGCCCCCTTCCCCCAGCCCCGACTCATTCACAGAGATGTGCCGATTCTCCAACACAACTTGCATCAAAGCTTTATTTGCTGTTTTCAGAGTCTGAATGCGACATCTCTGTACATGCAAAGGTCATCTCGTTTCATTGCAGTGGACCAGTTTCCAGCTGCTCTTCTGTGCATAAGAAACCTCTTTACAGTTACAAAATATAAAAGCACTTGTAGACACCCAATACTCTGTGAGGTCCAGGGGGCCCTCCCTCCTCTTTTATTTTTACATTAAAAATATAGGTTTTTATAACTCTCAGTCACATCGTTAGATTCTTTCCAGGATCCGATAAAGTGCCTCTCATCTGCCTTCCGTTCAGAAGTCCTGGAGCTTGTGAATTCATAAGGCAACTGCACGAACACCGCAGGGAGGAGGCTTAGCTGTTCCCCCCACAACTCGAGTTCTTGTCCTATAATGACTCAAGTATCTGAGGATGGGCCTGGAAGAACAGTTGGGAAAATATACACTGTATTTCTAGGTACTGTAGTTCCATGTTCCCAGCCCATCTTGCAAAACACATGGAAAGCATAACCATCTGGGGAGCATGTGACTTCTAGGGTACCTGTTGACTTAGGAAACAAAACAGTACAAAATACCTTCCACACTGCAATGTGTTATTTTGTGAGCCCCATAGTTACAGGATCTATAAGGCAATGTGGAACAGGATCATTTAAAGGCTCAAAATTTTCTTTAGATTATGGCATGATTTTTAGCTGGTGCGATGCCACCAGGGATTGTCACAGAGCAGCTAGTCCAAGTCACATTAGGAAGTGTCATGGCCCAGGTGAGAGGCAACTATTTAAGGGTGTTGTAGGGGTGGGCAAAGAAGGCAGGCTGAGAGGTGGGGATTTTGAGGCTTTGTTTGCCAGAAATTTTAGTGTGGCTTTCCAGACCTGAGAGCTGGCTTTCTGCCCCTTGTCCTGCAGGAACCAACCAGATGAAAGAAAGAAAATCCAGAGAGTCATGGGGACCAAAGGGACCTGGACTGCTGATGACCCAGGGTTTTATCCTGCTGGCATGGACTTAGGCAACCACAGCCTTGGCTTCCAAAAGTACCACAGGGGTGGCTCCTGGCACCTTCTCGGCACACAGCCGGTACCCCTACTCAGTATGGGACTCAGCCCAAGGTGATCCTTTCTGAGATGTAGACTGGGTTCTGCCTGGGTGGCTTTCTCCACCCCCACACTCCTTCACGCCATGGGACCATGGTGCTATGGGACCTTGGCCTCTGGTTTCCCAGGCTCCAAAACCTCTCTGTCGCTTTAAAGACCACCTTGGCTTAAACTATCCCATTGGGGGCTGCAGTCATGCCTCACTCCAGGGACCAATCTGGGTGCATGGCGTGAGACGCACACTGTAAAGCTGCAGATTGACAAGGGGTTTGTCAACTCCAGATGGAAGCAGCTGCAGTTTTCTTTAGGAAAATCAAGCTCAGGATTTCCCCAAATCCTTTCTCAGCCTCTAAGCCTCAGGACCTCATGTTTGCCAGGCAGGCACTGCATCACTGAGATAAATCCCTGGCCCCTCGATGCCTATTTCTATTCTTGTTTGTTAGCACTTTCTTAAAGTCAACCTCCTCACTTCTGGGGGTGGGTTGGGGGTGGAGGGAGACAAACTTGTCTGGAGTTGTATGGCCTGTAGGATGCTGCTGTCCAATTGTCCTTTCCCTAATCCCAGACAACCAGAGCTGGTCGGGTCAATTTTACCCCAAGTCCCCAAGGTCCCCAATTCAGTGAGGTCTCACTTCCTGTAGCATTTCTCTGGTGGTGATGAGTAATTCTCTACAACATTAATTTTTGAGGCTTCACCATGTATCATTAGGCAAGGGACCATGAAGGTGAAGATCAACTGGAGGGGACAGAGATACAGACTTAGCAGAAGGCCAGCTGTCAAAGTGCTGATGGGCACAGGGGGAGGAGGAGGTGGTACCTACCAAGGAATCTGCATTGTATGTAAGACTCACTTGAGAATCTCGGGGGGGGGGCAGGTGACCTGACAACACACAGGTGACTAAGGCATATAAAGTTAGTTCAAAAAGACAGATTTCCAGAGGAGACTTCAGGGAGACTTCAGAAGCTAGTAGAAAACCCATTGCTAAGCTCCAAAGAGCTCACCTCGTTTAAAAAAGGGTCCATGCACAATGCAGTGGTCCAGCTTCCCGCCAAGACTCAAGCATCATGGTCACTTCTCCCTGCACTGCACAGATCAAAACAGGACTCCAAGGTCATAAGGAACCTGCACTTGGAGGGTCGCGGAATGCCAGCTCTATGCTGCTGGAAATGAGATGAGGATCTTCAGGGCTTGCTGCGGCTAGGGTTGAGTCAGTGGGTATATCTACGTCAAGGTGGAATTAAATAGATATATTGCCAGTCAAGGTGTGAGGTCAGGCAAAAGATGCCCAGGCCAACCTCATTTGGGAGTGGGTTTCTCCTGTCAGTTTAACTTGGGCTCAGATCTAGCTCATTTAGAATTAAGCCTTCTAAAAAAAAAAAAGAAAAGAAAAGAAAAGAAAGAAAAGAATTAAGCATTCTGCATGCTGTTACACATCCACACAGGTACCAAAGGACCCTTTCCAGTGGCAGAGACAAGAACCAAGTGATGAAGTCAGGGTCAGAACACTAGGGAAGTGTTCCAAGGGAGACTTTTTTTTTTTTTTTCTTTTCACTTAGTCATCACATCAAGATTGTTGCAAAACATGAAATGGATCTTCAAAAAAAAGGCAACCAAAGTAGTTCTGGAAGGATTAATCTCCAAATAGCTATAGAGAACAAATGAACTACTATACTTCAGGGATGAGAATACAAACGCACTGAGCAGGGCCAAGTTCCCACACAGACACAGGTCCAGCAATGGCCCACCAGTAGGCAAAGCCCAGCCAGGCCACTCAGGGTGGTCAGTGAGGCCTGGTGTTGCTGTCCATGGTGCTGAACCGCACCTCTAAGCTGTGCACAGGCATCCGTGTGAACCTGGAGCAATCAACACCAGTCCCACAAGTAAGACAGAAAAGAGTCAGTACAAGCAGATTAGAAAGGAAGATAAGATGGGAGGTACGTGAAGACTCTTGGAAATGTGGCTGGAGAGAAGAGAGGAAAATTTTGACACTATTTGCAAATAATGGATTTAACAAGAAAGACGTTCCACCTCTCAGGAGTCTACTTTGCTATCTAGTTAGTGCTGTGTATGGATCTACCAGGACATTTAGTCCCAAGCCCCTCTGCAATCATGGGCTGCCCTGTGAACTGTCCATCTGTCTCACCATTGGGGGACTCTCTGGCAAGGTTGGCACAAGATTTATGGCAACTCCAGCATTGCAGGCAGCCAGCCAGGCACATCTGGGATGTTTCCTGGTGCCTGATGCTTTGGAAGTAGATGGGGATGGGGTTGAGGATTTCCAAAATAGAAGGACAGAGAAGACGGTGTCTGGAATCCCCAAAGGTCTGGAGATTCTCAGGAATTAGCTTATAGAAAAAGAAAGAGGCAGGGTGAGTCTTGCATTTTGTCACCACACAGCCAGCACTCCCGGGAAGTCCTTGGCCTAGAGTTCCCCTCTGGAGAAGGGTTTGGAGTAATGCCAGCATCTCCAGCACTTGAACAACAGAAATGCATGCAGTCAGGTAGAGCGGGGGTGGGGGTGGGGTCAAGGTGAGAGAAAACAGAAACCCAAAAAGCACCCTTTAAGCATTTGTTTCAAGGCTGACTTCAAAAGACTCCTCTGTTCCAGCAAGCTGGGCTTTGTTCAAAAGAACTGGAGAAGATGCTTGAGGCAGGTCTGGTGTTTGACAAAGATACTGCCATTTGAGCTGCCCTCATGACCCCTTGAAGCCAAGGGACAAGGGCCACCCCATGGAAATCAGGGCTCAACTGAGAAAGAAAGAGGAAGAATATATATAGGGTGACAGTAACACATTGTAAAAAGCTTGGATAGAGAGAAGATAACCTGAGGTTGGATACGTCACAACATACTATCCACACACCTGTCCTCCTGCCCTTTAATGTAAAAACATATATACATGTCAAGTTTCAAAGAAAATTGGCTATGTTATTGCTTAATCACCTTCTAAAACAAACAAAAAGGAGGTTATCTATGCACATGGCCCAACTAGAAGGAGAAATACACTTAAAAGAATAGGGGAGAGTATGTTTAATAATTGGAAATGCTGATTCCTCATGAAAAGAAAGGAATCTGTCAAAGCAATCAAAACTCCCAACCCCATGGCAATGCCTTGGAACAAGAGGACAGTAGCAAGTAAATGGTTTGAACTTTCTTGGAAATGTCCTTTCTTGGAGAAAGACTCAGCCAAGAGTTGATCTCCCAATTCAGATGTTTTTCAGAACCTTCTCAGCCTTGCACTGATGTTCCTTGAGATGCAGAAGGTGTCGAAAGAGGATGGAAATGCAAACTCTAATGTAAAAGCAAAACCCTGGCAGGGGCATTTCTGGGCAGCCTGGCTTCTTTCCCAGCCGGAAGTGCTGTCTTGGAGCTGAGCAGGTCCTCGAGGACGGGAGGCCTTCGTGTGGGATCTGAGCTCTGGAGCAAGGCCCAGGCACGTGAGCACAGTGCAGGCGGGGGGCAGCAGCTCGGCCTCTCTGTGGCTCACGACAGTCTGACAGTTAAGGCTTCTGTTGATTAGATGTGGTGCTGTCCCCTGCCTGGAGAAGAAGGAGAAAGTGCTAGTGTCAGCAGGGGGGATGTTTGGCCTTGCCTGGCTCCAGCAGCAGGCCTTCTAACCTTTTGTGGGGACACAGGTGCAGTCCAGTGGCGCAGTACACACCTAGCATGAGCAAGGGCCTGGCTTCCTTCCCCAGCACTACCAAAACCCAACAAGTGAACAGCCATTTCTGGCAGTCCCCGGGATGCAGTCTTCATAAGCTCAGACCAGGAAAGACTTTTTGGCAGGTAGGAGAGGGGTGAAGTGAAGCGTATGGTGGACAGTCTGGCCCAGTAGACATTTAGTATCAGTTCTGAGGCCCAATTTCCTCAAACGGATTGCTGATAATAACATAGAAGAAAGGGTTGGAATGCCCTCCACATGAAGAATTGATAAATGTTTGAGGTGGTGGGTTTGCTAACTAAAGTGACTTCATGGTTACATACTCATAGTGTACTGAGACTTTGCGCTGTATCGCACATGTAAGTACAGTGACTATGTGCTAAGGAAACTTTCAAGTGGACGGGCTGCTGGAGGCTTCCAGAAGATAGCACACGTGCTGTGCCAAACACAGAATAAACACAGGTGCTGACCCTTAGCTGAGCCCTTGAGCAAGGACTTGCTGGGGATTGTTTAAGTCTTCTTGAGGAGGTGAATATACGCATCTATGCTCAAATGTATGCATCCGTCCGTACATATACATATTATGCAACATGTATTATGTAGCACCCTCATAATCAAGCACACGATATAGTCCAAATATTTATCCAGTTGGGCAAACAGGGCTGGGGGTATAGACCACAGTACAGCAACTGCCTCACACGGAGAAGGCCTTGAACCTTAGCTCTTGCATAGCATAAATAAATATAGTTAAGCAAATTAATAAAAGCAAGAGGTTGGGCTGGTGAGATGGCTCAGTGGTCTAAAGCACCTACTTAGAACAAGCTCAGCAAAGCACAGGGACTGCGGTTCAATCCCCCAGCACCACATGCCAGCCAGCCCCGCCCCCTGGTGGGCTGAGCTGGCCACACACACACACACACACACACACACACACACACACACAATAAATAAATATTAAAAAAAAATAAAAGCAAGAGGTGATCAAAATATAGGGTGAATATTTAAATTTATTACCGTTGAAGATACATTGTCATTACCCTCTCTCAAGTCTCCCCCTTGGGCTGGTGAGATAGCTCAGCAGTCTAAGTGCCTGCTTAGGAAAGTGCAGGCACAGGGGTCTGATCCCCGGCACCACATGCTGCACCAGCCCTGTCCCCCCGGGCGTGCTGAGCCAGCCACTGAGATGACACTGGCTGTGGTGGCACACACCTGTAATCCTAGTGCTGGGGAAGCTGAAAACAGGAGGATCACTAGGAGTGTGAGCTGTGTAGTGAGACCCTGTACCAAATACATTTTTTAAAAAAATGCTCCCTCTTGCTTCCAGTACACACATCCCACCATTCTTGCCATTTTCAGAAGCAGCTCTAAGAGTCTTTTTTCATGAGTGTCTTCATGCTTTGGGATCAAAAATATAGTAAATGCTGCTCTTGAGAGAGGCCTTTCAATAGCCTGTCAGGCTCACAGAGATGCTACGGGGTATCCCCATTTACTCTATTTGCTGGATCTTCCCCCCAAACCAAAATAATCATGTAAAGTAAACATTTTGGATCAATTCAGGACATTTACGAAGGACATGTCCTTCAGGACATTTTGGATCAATTCAGGACATGGTACGAAGACACTCAGGAAAGAGGACTTCCAGAAGCACTTCAGGAAGCAGTGAGAGGGGTGGGATAAGTGTCCGAAGGGAGAGAGGTACTGGAGGGAGCGTCTTTTACCGTAATGAATTTTTAAGAATTTAAACAATCACCATACGTTTTGGTCACACCTCATAAATCAATACATAGAGTGGTACAAACCACATCTTCAGCATTGTTTCCCTTCAGGCCAGGCTTTGTCACTGAAGGAGCAATAAAAAAAAAGGGGGAGGGGCTGGAGAGATGGCTCAGTGGTCTAAAGCACCTACTTGGAACAAGCTTGGCAAACCACAGGGACCTCGGTTCGATCCCCCAGTACCACATGCCAGCCAGCCCCGCCCCCTGGTGGGCTGAGCTGGCCACACACAATAAATAAATGTAATAAATAAATAAATAAACAAATAAACAGTGGAATATATAAAAAAAAGAAAGAAAGAAAGAAAGAAAGAAAGAAAGAAAGAAAAGAAAAGAAACAGAAAAAAAAGTGGTGTTTTCAGAGTATTTGGAGATTCAGGGAGTGTGGATCATTTCCACCAATCAAATCAAGGCTGACTTTGCTTTGTGACCGTGTTTCCTAAAATGAGGGTGTACAGGCTGTGCGCAGCTTGGTACTTCCGGTGCGTTCTTGGTGAGCCCTGAGCACCCCTCAGTGGTGTGACCCACTCTGCGTGTTCCCAGTCATCTGAGAGCTGCACCAGGGTACAAACGCTTGTTTTTTTTTTTTTTAGTAAGGTCAGCTTTCCCTGCCTGTGTGTTCACCCCATCTGCGGATCCAACCAACTCTAGATTAAAAGTACTTTTTGGGAAAAAGCACATGTGTAATAAAGATGTATAGGACTTTTGTCATGTTGTTATTCCCCAAGTAATATAACACAATGACAATTTACATGGTCCTGGGTATTTTAATGATCCTAGCAGTGATTTGAAGCTTCTGGGAGGATGTATGTAGGTTTCATGCATAGACTGTACCACTTGATGGAGCGGGCTGGGGCATCCCTGGATTGGGGTGTCCTTCTAGACCCACTCCCCTGTGGATACTGAGGGATGACTGCATGGATTTTTAAAAACTAAACATAATTAGTTTGTACACAAACACATTCCCCATGCAGAAACTGGAAAGAGTTCAGATGAAGCTAACCGTTGCTGTCCCACACTTTCATTTTAGAAAAGGGTGCAGATGCAGTGGGAAGGGCGGCCCAATGCACAGGACCAAAGCCTGGGCCTCTGTCTGACCCCTTGCCAGGCCCCTCTTGCCCACTCTGGGCTGCAGGCTGAGTTCCATTCCCATAGGACTAAGTCCCCACCAGTGCCCTAACACAGCTCTGCCTGCGTCCCTCTGCATGGTCGCCACTCCCCGTGACACCACACCCCCGACTCCACACCCCTGCCCCCCACTCCTCCACCTCTGGTCCCAGGACCATCGGCCCTTTCTACCTGTCAGGCTTGGTTCTCATACAGGCTTTGCCTCTTCTTGGATTTCAGTTCCTTTAGCCACTGGGGAGAAGGCTCTTCTGACCTGAAACCGCAAGGCCGGGGAGTCAGTGTGGGCTACTCTGGGAGTCCTGGGAGCAGGGCTGTGTGCCTGCCTCTCCATCCACTGAGCCAAGAGGGGGCTGGCCAAGCACACACAGTGGCAAGATGTCATAAAACACAATCCACACACAAGAAGCAGAAATTCATCCACATGTCCATCCATGGACAGAGATGCATAAATCCTGATATATACACTCTGTGAAATAATTTGCAAAAGCCTATTTTATACAAAATCCTTTCACACATCCACTTATCAGTCATCCATGCATGCTTCCATCTTTCTATCCATATACACAATCTCTTAATTTTATGTCACCTCAACTGCACCATGGTACCCATATATTTGCTCTGATACTATTCTAGCTATTTTGGCGAAGGGTTCTTTTTTTGGGTGAAATTACCATTTAAGTCAAAAGACTGAGCAAAGCAATTAACCTTCATACTTGGTGGGCCATACCTAATCAGCTGAAGACTCTGATAGAAGAACTGACCTCCCGGGAATAAGGCTGGACTAGAACCCTGGGCCTCCAGCCTGGCGGCCTCCTCTGTAGGTTTTGTACCTCCAGCAGCCTCCACAGCCACATGAGCCAATCCTTAATGTCACCCCCTAATACACACATTCCTCTCTAACATTTTTTCTGAGCTCAGAAGAAGCTCCTGGCGAGCTCAGCAAGATGGTGACCCAAGGACATCTCGAGCTGATCCACTTGCAAGCCTGGGAATGAGGAAAGGCCCTGGGTAGATGAACCGGGGTGTGGGGTACCCCAGACTTCAGCCATGTCTGGCCTGGTGGCGGAGGCACAAGCCTGGGCCTCCGGAGGTGCAGGAGACCCGGGTCAGGAAGGTCCTCCATCCACCGAGACACACAGAGCCACCTTGCGGTTCTGGTGTTCCTAGGGAGCGGGGCACGCGGCAGTCATCCCCGTCTCTCTGAACTTTCCCTGGTGCACTGACACACACCGCCTGCGGCCCTGAGAACACCAGTCTCCAGGTCCCTGCACAGTGTGGCCCCTGTGCGGCATCCCCTCTTGCTGTCCCGTGGCCCAGCTGAGACTCGACCGGCCATCTGGACCCCTCTCCCATCAGCTTGCAGGGTGTGACGAGCCCTTCCGCCATGAGTCAGACAAAGGACCAGACAGTAACTATTTCTGACTGCGGGCTGCACATGTCCCTGCAGTCCTCATGCGGAAGCAGACACAGACAATACTGACGTGAGTGGGCGTGGCCCTGTGCCAGTGAAGCTTCATTGGCAAATCCAGACCGTGGGCTACAGTTTGCCAATTCTATTCTATCTTGGTTGTTCTATCACAAGTCTAGAGTCAAAAATAATTCCTAATTCATGTGCTGAGAGTACCGGGCAGAACTCTACTCTCCGAGCAAATCTACACACCAGGCTCCACTGCATAACTCCATCCTCACAGCCACCCAGAAAGTCATGACAGTTTGTAAACCCGTTTCACAGATGAGGAAACCAAGGCCCATAGCTGCCTGGTGACTTTGCATAGCTGACTCCAACCTGGGCTGAGTAACTTCAGAGCCTGTGCCCACGACTGCTAGCCCCAGCAAGAGTCCGGGGGGGGGGGGGGGGCTAGGGCAGTGCTGAGGTCATCTCTGCTTGAGCAGGCTGAGCCCAGGCACAGGACAGCTGTTCCACCAAGGGGCACTGACCAGAGCCAGGTTTATCTCTTTCCACTTGGCTGTACCCTTGGACTGTCCTTCCCATGTCCCTTGCTTCTCCTGAGCCAAAGGTGCTTCCGAGGGGGAGGAAAGGATGGGGCAAGCCTCAGTTTCCCCACTGTCTGCCCCAGACCAGGTGTGCCCTGGGCTTCTGTGTGGTGTGTGTATATGTATATATGGGGGGGCAGGCATACTTGTGCTCTCCTCTGGCACAGAAGAGAAGATGCGGAGGCGCCCCGGGCCCCAGTGCAGATGCTGGAGGTAAAGCAGTGGAGCTGTCAGCACCCTGTGACACCAAGTCTGTCTGCACACGCTTACCTTCTGTCCTCCATGCTAGAGGGAAGCACTCGGCTGCCCAGTGCCCCTGGCTGGAACACGGACTTGGGTGTCTTGGGCTGGGGGCCTCGGCTGGGGGTCTCACCAGGACTGTCCACCTCTGGCCTCTTGTGCAGCTGAGCCTGGGCAGAGATGAGAGCCAGGATCAGCGGCCTTGTGTGTGGGCTGGGCTCGCTCGCCAACAGGGCCGGCTGCGGGAGCCCTCGGAAAGCAATGGCCCCGAGGAGGAGTCGGGCCGGGCTGGTGCCCAGGATCGGGGCCAGCAGCATCAGCCCTGCATCACCAGTCCTCACTGCTGCATCCCCCACTGTCCCAAGCACCCGGATGGGGACAGCAGCTCCACCCCAGGTGATGCACACTCTCCCTGGCTTCTTACTCCTGTGCCTTTGCAGAAGGAATAAACATCTCGATTGCCCACTCGGTTCCCATGGGCACATGGTGAGCGAATGTCACGACTTTGGTGGGCACTTCAGATATATGAGAGGGGCTGCAGGTAGGGGGCCACAGAGAGACAGAAAATGGAGACCAAGCCACACTGGGCCACTAGTGAAGTCCAAATAAATCACTAGTGTTGTTAATAACCAGAGGCCGCTTCCCTGGTTGTGACAACATACTACGTACATGAGAGACACCATCACGGGGCAAGGGACACAGGAAGTCTCCATACCATTGCTGCAACTTGCTCTGGGTCTTAAACTATTTCAAAATCAGAGGGAGAAGGGGTTAACTCATGGTGGGTGGACACCGGATGGATGGATGGGAGGGAGGGAGGGAGGGATATCCCCACCCACTAGCTGGCCCTGGTACCTTCAGGACCGCTGGATCCATGCCTGGAAACACAGGCACTCTCTGAGGCTGGCCAATCGGCGTCTTCTCAGTCCTGGACGGCGTCTCCTCCTCATCCGACTCTTCCCTCCTGGGCGATTTCTCTTCTGTTGCAGAGAAAAGAGTACTGAAGTCACTGGCAGCTGTCATCTACAGAGCCCCGCAAGGCCTACTCCTTGGAGCCCAGGCAAAGCAGAGAACTTGGCACGCTCGAGGAGGGGCCAGTCCCAGCCTTCCCCGGTCCTGGGGGCCCCTCGAGTCTGTTGGGACCCAGAAGTGCGGCTGCCGGGGCCACACTGGGGAATCTCGGCACTTCTGTCCCCACTGCAGTCTTCATGCGCTCCGGGTAGCTTGGCATGGGACATGTGATTGAAGGCACCAGAGGTGCTCGAGTCTTGTATGTGTGTGTAAAAATGTTTACATTCATCCTAGTGAGGGACACACTGCCAGTAATCCCTCACTTCACAGGCACCCCACCTCTCTCGCCACCGTCTGAAGCACTCTGCAAATCCTCTCTTGTGTCTCTGACTGCACTGTGGTGGCTGCCTCGGGGTCCTGCGTGCATTCAGAACATTCGTGATTCATGGTCATGTTTACTTGGGGAAAGAGCCAACAGTCATACAAGCCAGGTCAGGTCCAGTGAAGAAGGAGGATGAGACAGTCTGGGGCGTCTTTTTCTTTCTTTCCTTTTTTTTTTTTTTTTGGTGTTACTGGGGATTGAACTCAGGACCTTGCGCTTGCCAGGCAAGTACTTATTCCACTGAGCCATCTGCTCAGCTCTGAAAGTTCAGAAGGGTTTTTTTTTTTTTGAAGGTTCAGGATGCCTTGAGGGCATTTCTGGTGTGGCTTGAGGATCTGGGGATCTAACCACAGCAACCTGAGCCTGACTGCTCTGTTTAAGCAGTCACTTCAACAACTGTGCTAATGGGCAGGCCCCCCGGGGCATCTTTGGGACCTGCCTCTCACTGGGTGACACTTGCAGCACTCACCTCACCGTACTATTTTACTGTGCTTCATAGACACTCAGGAAAGAGAACTTGCAGAACTGCTTAGAAAGTGGCCAGGACAATGGGATGAGTGTTTTTGAAGCGCGCGCGCGCGTGTGTGTGTGTGTGTGTGGGGGGGGTGTTCTGGGGGGATCAATGGCAATATGCCTTCTAGTGTACTAAACTTTACACATAAGCACTCTCTGTATCTTCTGATCACCGCTTGTAGCTCGGCTAAGAAAGCCCACAGGGAGATGTCTCACTCACATAAAGGCACCTAAGCATTTTCTGTAAAAAAACTGAAATGGATTGGGAGAGGGAGAGGGCAATGATTTTTCTAGCTTTTGTTAAAGTTATCTGACCAGAAGCAGTGGACTCTCCTGGCTCTGGAGCTTTGCCTGGCATCCTTCTGTTTGCTAAGGGCAAGTCTCAGATGACTGAAGAACACCTACGGCAGCTTCTAGGCAACTAAAAATTGTGTCTGAGCTGGGGGTAGTGACATATGCCTGTAAATTCAGCACTCTGAGAGGCCGAGGCAGGAGGATCCTGAGTTTGAGCCTAGCCTAGGCAATTTAGCAACTTAGGGGGACTAGGTCTCATAATTAGCAAAATAAAAAAGGCTTGACATACAGCTCAGTGCAAAGGCTCCAGGTTCAATCCCCAGTACCTCCCCACCCCACATAAATGATGTGTTGGCGTAGGAGGTATTAGCTGCCATAGTCCTCACTGCAAGAAGCAATTTCGTTTCCTCTTAAAAACCTTTAACAGCACTCCATCAACAGATGAAATCTAACTCCTTAACAAAGGACCAAGGGGTGAGCTGTCCTTGCTGGGCCCTAGAGCACACGGCTCTGACTCCCAGCATGAGAGGCAGCTGGGAGAGGCCCCTGACACACACAGATGTTCTCTCCACACTTCTACCTGGGACCTTGATCCCTAGATAAATTCTTACATACTGTAAGAGGCAGCTCAGATTTTGACATAGCAGCAGCCAAAGCAGTCCTTAGGGGACCATGCATAGCCTTTAGTAATACATTAGAAAACAAAAAGACTAATAAACAAAGTAATTTTCAACCTAAGAGTCTAGAAAACCTTCAAGCAAACCTAAAGAGTGTAAAAGGGTGAACTTAATATATTAAGCAGAAGCAGTGAAACCTTATTGTGTCTCTGCTCCTTGTAAGATGCAGGATCCAAATTATCATGCTTTGAAATGATTTTTATCATAGCCCTAAGCTCTACAAAACAGGAAACCAGTTTCTTCTATAATTGTATCCAAGGCACAGAAGCCTGCAAAGTTGGGGAGTTCTTCCCAGGAGGTACCCCAGGCCCCTACTACTCCGTGGGCACCGGGGTGGGACAGAAGGCCCTGGCAGACGAACCTGTTGAGTCCTTGAACATCCAGGTACTATTGTCCTCCTCCTCCAAAGCAGACCGGCTCTCTGATTCGCTGAACTGGCTCCGACGCAGGGAGTGGGAGATAGGCCCCCTGCGGCGGCTCCTCTTGCTGAGCTGCACGCGGCTCTTGAGAGCACTGGAGTCCAGCACTGAGGTTTGCTTCAGTGGCCACCAAGAAGAAGAAGAAGAAAAAGCAAAAGCAAGAGACCCATCAGTGGAGGGCACTGCCTTTGAGGGTACGTATGGCTGCCTTGATCGGTGAGAGCCTGTTTAACTGGGCCCAGCACTTTACACTTTATTTTACTAGTTAACCAATTTTGGCAGGAGCCTTCACACTGGGAGAAGGCCCCAGACCTTTTTGCCATTTTTCATTTTTGAAACACAATCTTGCTGAGCCACGAAGTTGCCCAGGCTTGGCTGGAACTCGGTCCAGTCCTCCTGCCTCAGCCTCTCAGTGCTGGGATTGCAGGCGTGCAACACCGTCAGTGTAGGGCTGGTTTCTTAGCCTCCGAGAGTGGGCAGGGCTGGCCTGGACAGGGAGATGGCTCTGTATGCATGGAACCGCTGCCCTGGTGGCCTCCAGCCCAAGCACTCCCTTAGGAGAGCAGAACAGGGACAAGTGTGACATATACCCCAGCACAGGATGATACGTGGTTTAGACCTGTGCCCGTGTTTGGAATCAGTTTGTGGGCACTTCAGATTCTTAATCTGCAAAACAGGCAGAGGACATTGCCTCTTGGGCTGTTAGTGTGTGCGGACAGTGGCAGCCACCAGGCCCCCACCAGTGCCAACACTGTGTGACCGGTGGCCGTTGACACTGCTGTTGTTGCTTATAATGGATGTGGAAAAGAAAACGCTTTATGTGCCAGAGGGAACGTCCAGCAAAATGCTAGGGCACGGTGACATCACACAAGTCCCTCAGCCACAGCAATGCTGGGCAGCCTGGAGGTCTCAGTACCCACTGCATGGGCAGCTGAAGGCAGCATCTCACCTCGTCCTTGCAAGAGAGGTGGGCAGGAGGAGGTGAAGACTGAGCTAGCTTCTCTGTCTCCACCTTTATCTGTTGGTGCCCCTGACAGCCTGCCATACGGAAGGAGGTGGAGCTGTGTAAGGTCCCAGAGGAAGCCCTAGTGGGGGAACCTTTTGCTTCCCTAAAGGGTGTGTGTGGGGCACTGCTAACAGGAGAGAGGGGATTTCTAGACATGTCAGATCTGCACCTACAGGAGGCACGGCAGTGGCTCTACTGTCAGGGTCCCTCTGTCTCCAGGCCTTGTCCCTGGAGTGGTCAAGGAGGGTCTGGAGCAGGAGGCCATCTGATGGGCACATGGGGTAGGGTGAGCTCAGTAACAGGGTCTACCCCTGAACCCCCAAAATGGGTCTAATGTCTGAGCGGCTTCTCTTCCTGCAGCAGTATCACAGAGAAGAGAGCTCTGTACGCTACGGAGCAAAGCCTTAGTGGCAGTGCCCAGCTCACCCAGCCGTCACATGGCAGGCTGTACATGCCTGGGAGAGGAACCTCAGGCTGACCTCCAGGGCAGGAATCAGACTTCCTGCCTACCTGGCAGGCGCGAGGGCTTAGCTTAGCTTTAATCAGAACTCATGATTGCACACAGGTGTGGAGTGAGGCAGCTTGGCCCCAAGAACCATGGACATCTGCCCCCAGACACACAGCTGGAAGACACTTGGCTCGGGCTACCTGCATAAGCGCCCCATCTCAAAGACTGCACTCTGCACCCACAGGGCAGGTCACTGGGGACACTAGGGCTTCCCTAAGAAGAAAGGACTGGCTGGGTGTGGTTACATATTCCTAAAGGGAGTTACTCCCCAGCTGAGGCAGGAGGATTGCAAGTGGAAGGCCAGCCTGGGCAACCTATGCAGACCTGTCTCAAAAAATAAAAAGGGTTGGGGGTGTGGCTCGGTGGCAGAGTGACCCTGGGTTTGATTCTCAGCACCATTAAAAAAAAAAAAAAAAAAAAAAAAAAAGCATGGGTGATGGCTTCCAACACACGCACCCTGGTGAGACTTACATGGATGAATGAGAAGTCATCTGACCCTTGGGGAGGGCAGGTGTCCTGTCGGGGCAGCGTCTCTGTCCCATCTGTAGAGTCCAGCTCAGAGCTGGAGTGGTCTACACTGGCACTCTGCTGGTCTCCCGCTGAGGTGGGCTCCGTCTGGGAGGACAGGGATGACAGGCGGCTTCCAGGGGGCTGTTTCCGCATGGATGTGGTGCTGCTGTCGGGAGATGAAGACTCAGGGGCCAGGCTGCAAGAAAGGGAGGGAAGGAAGACATGGTGGCAGGAGCCCCAGACAGCCTGTGAGTGTGAAGCCTGCGGGGTGCCTGCCAGCCCTTTTTTAAAAAATGTATTTGGTACAGGGTCTCACTATCCAGCTCGTTCTCGGTTCACACCTGGTCTCAGTCACCAGCTCAGTGCGCCCAGCGGCAGGGCCAGCGGCGGGCCCCAATGTGTGGGGGCGGGGATGGAACCCGGGTCCTGAGCTTGCCTAAGCAGGTGCTCAGTCCGCTGCGCTATCTCACCAGCCCTGACACTTGGGATGAAGGAAAGAATGTGGAATGCATGGCTGGTAAATTTTCAGGTCAATTACATGTTGCAAGGAAAGTCTTTCGGCTCTATTGCTTTTGATCAAGTTCAATCGAATTAAAACTTGTGAGTTTAAAATTTGCCTGTTTCTTTTGATTCCTTGTGTGTGGCCACCAGTTCACGTTAAATGACACACACGTCTGTTGAGCACAGCCCATGCTGCCTTTCTGTTGCCCAGGGCTGAGGCAGAACAAACCACTGTGAGTAGCTACCTGCTGCAGACCAGGAAGTGGAGAATTCTCCTGACTGACTGTTCCAGTGAAGAAGTCAGGAGACCTACTTTACTGAGCACCTACTATGTGCCAGACATTGTGGGAAACACTGCATCCTTTAATCCCCTCTGCAATCCTATGGGGTTATTAAAAACCCTAAAGTCCCTACATATTGCAAGGTGAGAGTAACTCAAGAAATTAAATACTGACCATGTTAAAGATGTGGAAACTGAGGCCCCAAGGGGGGCAGAGCTGGAATGGAGGCAGGCTGGCTGGTTTAATACTCTAGCTATGAAAATGTATGGATAAGTAGAGCCATGCAGGTGAGAAAAATGATAAACAAGTTAAGCCATTGGCTCTTTCCTCCCGGCGCAAACACATGCATACTAAAGCGCACCAGTCAAGAGCCCAGCCAAGCCTCTAGGCCAGGGAAACCCTTCCTCTAAGGAAAGAAAGGTAGGCTCCACTGACAGGTGGGACCCACAAGCTGCACTCTGGTACAGTGTCCCAGGATTTTGCAAGGCTTTTGCTAGCTCTGAGCTGATTTCCCTACTTGGATGAGGGCAGTTGCCAAGGAGATGGGTGGTCATGAGGCAAACCCAGAGGTTGGGGGAAATACCACCAACGGACACCAGATAGCAGCATGATCTAAGGTTGGGTACAGCGCTCCAAGGAGGGCCTGGGGGCGCAGTACCGCCAATAGGCAGCAGAGGGCGCCCGCCACCAGCAGCAACCTAGGTGGGAGCGGGTCTCACCCATTCTAGGAGTTTTATTTTTTTGGCTACTTCTTGCTGCCCTAAGGGCAGGTTACCCATTCTAATCTAAAGGCAGGGAGTTGGGTCTGGAGGCCGAGGAAAGTGGCTCCCAGGATCATTTGAGAAATAGGCAAGGCCAGGGCTCAGTCACCACAAGGAGTCCAGGGCTCTCCTCAATTGCTGCAGTGAAAGTTAAGCTCATTAACTAAACACTTAGATTTCACCGGTTAGGGACAAAGGCTTATAGGTCCTGCCCTTGGCCTCTCTTCCTTTTCCTTATCCATTCCCAAGTCCATCAACTCTCACAGGACTTTAAGTAAGAGACTGACAATGGGCATGGCTACCCCTCACATTGAGGGAGGGAGGGAGGGAGGTGGGGGACCTGTGCTGGGGTCCAGTTAGCCCCACATACTGGGTCCCTGGTCAGATTCCTCCTGTCTTGAGCCTCACTTCCCTAGGTGGGTGTGAGGTGGCAACTGAGCCACAGAGTGACAGGACTGGTAAGTGGCTCGGTGGGGAGCTGACCCCTGGTCTCTCTGACGTCCAAATCTTTGCCTGGAGTCATGGAGCCAGTGGCCAGTGAAGGTATGGGCTGCAAATAGCCCAGGTGGCCCGGATGCAGTCCTGCGCTCATCCCACCCAAGGGGGACATACACCTGAAACAAGAATAGGTATGGTACACAAAAGCTCCCAGTATGTGCCAGTCCTCATTGGTACACAAGTCCCCCTTTAATCAACCCATGTGCTAGGCACTTCTGTTTTCTCTGCTGCACTGTAGGTAAAGAACGAAACACCACTGCACTTGTGAACGCGTGCTAAGTGCTCCGAAAGGATCTGGCTGATTCTTAAGCATCACTCCCTTTCTGTGGAAAAGGCAACTAATTGGGAAAATATAATTAATCTACTCAGGGTCCCAAACCCAGTTAGGGTGGGGCTGGACTCATACCAGCCTGCTCCTGAATTCAGGTTATGCTCCATCAGCTGTAGCCCTCAGGACCAGGCAGAATGTGCCTTCCAGTCAGGCCGACACTGGGCACTCCACCGGCCCTCAAGGGGTGGAGATCCTAATGCAGATGTAGCCTCTGACGCGTCTGTGTCCTGTGTGCGCCGGGTGTCAACATCTACACACAGCAGGAAGTCCAGGAAGCTGGCAGGAAACATGACTGAAGGCCCGGCTCTGCCCTGGGGCTACGGGCAGTTTTTGTTTTCCTTTATAACTTTTTATAGTATTAATACACACAATGTGATGGCCAACACCAGGAGTGATACTGACCACACACAGAGTTCTGCAGCCATCATTCTTCTTTACAACCCAAATGGCTTCCTCACATGACTACAAAGCGGCTCCTGTGATCCAGATGCCCTCAGGGCAGCGGGGGACCTGCCTGGGTGCCCTACCTGTCCGCGCTCTGGCGCTGCTCTGCCCACGTCCCATACTGGCCGTCAGCTTCGTGCACGAGGGTGTCGGTGTCCTTGGGCTCAGCTGGTCGCCTGGAGAAGCACTGCTTCAGCTGGTCCTGCAGGGCAAGTGGACAGGAGAGTCCATCAGGGAAACGCCAGTGTCCTCGGAATTGCACTCAGGACGTCGCAGGATTTCGTGTGCTTGGATGGGCACACGGGGAGCTGGGGTCCCAGGCCTGGTTGTAGTGGCCGGGGTATCCCCAGTTCTGCCTGCGCCCAGAGCAGCCTTCTCCAACTCAGTGCCCCCAAGAGTCAGCCCACTCTCCAGGGATGCCTCACCCTGTGCCTTTGCATCCCTGTCACCCAGCACATCTCCAGCACAGCTCTGGGCCGGGGCCAGGAGTCAGGCAATGTCATTAACATGAAGTCACCTTGCTGGATGAGGGTCTCACCACAGTGCTATGAAGTGGCTCTTACTGCAATCCCTATTTTGCATCTGAGAACAGGCAGCTCAGAGAGGCAAAGGGATGTCGTGTCCTGTGCCTGGGCATCCCCAGCCCCTCAGTCTGTCGCTCCCTGGTCAGTTATCCTTTTACCCTTGGCCAGGACCCTCACCGAGCAGGTGGGCTGGTCCTGAGGGGAAATGGTGTCCAAAATACTGTGGCTTCCACCTACTCCTATGACCAGGCTGCAGAGGTGTGGGATTCAGGCTTGGGGGACCTGCAGGTAGGGGGACACTTCCGCCACTCAAGCCAGACTCAGGGTTCCTGAGGACAGCATCCCCGATGCTTTCCCGAACCTCACAGTCACATTGCACCCATCCTTAGACTTCAAAGTATCTTTCTAGAACATTCCACAAAGCAGAAATCAGTTTTCCACAACACAGCTATCAGAGCATTTCTAGCCCCGCAGCACCTCCTGGTGGATGGCACGACTTGCAACTTCCCACGGCATAGTAATTGCGACTCACCAACTTACCAGCCCCTGCCAAGCCAGAGCACCTGTGTCTGAATCTAGGTTCTGCTTTGCAGGCAGTAGCCGTGGGACCTCGGACAGGTTCCCTAACCTCTCTGTGCAGACAGAGCAGATGTTAAGCATTATGGTGTCACTGCAGTCATGACTTTCTAACACAGGCCCTCAAAACTGCAAGTACAGCTAGGCCCAGGGGTACCCAAGGGGCTTCGCCTCCTAAATAAGCTCACAAGCTGTTTATAGCACCTTCCCTGGTGGATCTCCTGGCAACTCTGTGTGCGTGACAAGTCTGATCTATGTGTCACCACCTTACGGGGCCTGGCAAGACTTCAAATCAGCGACACTTACCCTGAGCTCTCAGGGACCTGGGGCTTCAAGATCAGCCACGAAGATGAGCCTGAAACTCCTAAAACTTTCTGAACATCTAATTTTTTAAAAGTTTACTTTAACTCAAAGCTCTTCCACTTTAGCTCTGCTTACTGGCTGCAAGCAGGCCAGTTACAAGGTGGCCCAAAAATGCACAGAGCAGATTAGGTCAGCCGGAGCGGGCACCCCCAGAGATTCAGTGTTGTCAGTCATCAAACGAGGAAAACGACATCCTAGAATTTAGACCTGGGAGGACCCTCAGGGGAAACTGAGGCCTGAGATTGGGACAGCCAGATGGCTCTTGCTCCTTGGGTGTGCTGAGAGGCAGGGCTGGGTCTGGGCTTCTTCTGGCCCCTGGCGTTCCACCTCCCTACCTTTCCATGATGCTCCACGGTGAGGGAATGTACAGAAAATTGTTTCTAAAAACCTCAAGAACTTGGCAGGCTTCAAAACCACTTGCTTGGGCTAGTTGAGCCAGCCGCCGGCCACTGGTGGGCGTAAGCTCCTGGCCAGGGCTGCAGCCCCGAGGGATGATGGCCCCTGCCCAGCCCCTAAGGGAACATCATCCTGAGGGCTGTCCCGGGTGACCAGGCTAACTGGAAGCTTTCAGGACTGTGTTAGAACAAGTCGTAACTCATAGCCCCGAATTTCAAGCGTGCAACTTTAGTTGACATGGCACTTTTAGCTCCAGGAGCTTATCTCAAGGAAATCATTAGACACACTTGCCAAGACCCATAGCGCAGACGTTCCCGGCAGGATTGGCTTTCATTGCACAATATTTGAAGTGACCTAAATATCTAATAGGACGGGGGCTGTGGAACACGAAAGCCACACCGTGCGGTGAGGCGCACGACGGAAAACGACATATATTATGAATATTTTCTGCCACAGGAAGATGTGTGCTACACACCAGCAAGCAGAAAAAGAAAAAAATTTTAAAAAGGCATCAAACGGGTGCGTGTTGTGAATTCAGTTTTATAAAAAATAAACAGATACACACGAGGATAAGCCAAGAAAAGCATCTGGAAGCTTCTGCGGCAAACAATTCACAGTGGTAAAATCACAGGCTTTCATTCCTGTTGTTGGCTTCATTTAGCATTTATAAATTTATATTCAGACAGAATTTGATGATAAATGTACATAAAATTCATTAAGTCAGATTTCTTAGTACTCTCACATACATACATCATGAGCTCAGTACTTTTTCCATAAAGGGCCAGACAGGCAATATAGGAACTCTGTGGGTCCTGAGGGTCTCTGTCCCCAAGCCCAGCTCCACCAGAACAGCACAGAATGGTATGTAAATGAGTATGTGTGGTATGTAAATGATTGTGCATGGCTGTGTCCCAATAAAACTTTATTTACAAAACAGGTGGTTGGCTAGGTTCCTCCTCAGGTAGCAGTGTGCTGACACCCGACGCCCCTCAGTTTGCACCCTTTAGATGGGTGAGCTGCATAGAGACGAGGTGTTTCATTCACAACTGACTCCCAGCACCTGGAGTGATACCTGGTCTCTTATTGAGTGAACCTGTTGGGAGAATGTGATTGCACTAGAGCCTTCTGCAGCAAGTGGGGCCGAGCTCCTTCACCAGAAAAAGCAGCAGAGCTCAGAAGCGGTGGGGAAGAGAGAAACGTAAACCCGCGTCTCCAGGAACGCCTGATGTACTCGCCTAAGAAGGAGCTCTGACTCAGGCCAGGGGGCACCCCCAGCTCACAGGGCAGTTCCCAGAAGCCCAAGCCAAGAGTCCACCTCTTCTAGCAACTCTGCACTCCTGGCTCTGCAGGGCTGAGGGTCACAGGCCTTGTCCTGCCCTGACCCACTGCTGGGGAGGGCAGCAGTGGGCAGGTGGTGCTTCCGGGGAAAGTGTGGGACACCGGTCTCTGCCTCCCCCCATCTATGGCCCAAAAGCAACTGTGCTGGTGCCCGCAGGTTGTCTCAGGTTGGTGCCAAGCGGGGAGCGGGGGGGGGGGGGAGGAAGAGAAGCAGGGAGAAACAAGATCATGAGACCAAGCCCAAGCCAGAAGCATGTGCACAGGGGCACAGAGGGCGGCACAGAGCAGGGAGGTGAGAAGGTGTGTGTGTCCAGCCTCAGATAGGGGCCGATGGACCCAGCAGGCTGCGGCTCTGATGCTCCACCCCCAGGACACCCAGGTGAGCACCATCTCCTGTCCACGGTCTGAGCAAAAGCCTAGCCATAGTTGTGGCTCCTCTCCCTCGATGACCTTCAGCCAGGCCCTACCCCTCTCTGAGCCTCAGTTTCCCTCCTTGTTGAGTCAGTGGCCTGCGATCAAAGGTTTCGGTGACTCTGCAGCTCCGCAGCTAATCTCTGGGTGATGCCCAGTGTTTACACAGCCCATGGGCGCAAGCTGTGCTTCCCCGGGAGAAGGGTTGGTTCACCCTGCCGCACACCAGCCTGCGTTCGCACTGCTCACACCATGGGAGGTGATGAAATGGTGGCATGCACTCCTTGGAGCTTGGGCCCTGTCAGTTTCACCAGTGCTCTGCGGATAAGCCAACTGCACCTGGCCTGAGCAACCTAACCCACAGCTTTTAGGCCCCAGATGTGGAACTGGCCAACCTCGATTGTCCAACAGGTCAGTGGCTCTGAACCCTGTCTCTGTAATGCAGCATCCCCAGGTGAATCCAGCCTTGCTAGGTATGACCCGACCTCTCTGACCCAACCTCTCTGACCCTCGATTTCCCGCTCCAGGAAATGGGGCCGAGGAGAATGCATCGGGTACGGGGAGGATTCTGTAAACTGGTGAGAGATCACACAGGCCTGGTACACAGGTGGGCTGAGCAGACACCAGGCCACATGATGGCGACAGTGTCCATTGTTAACCCCCTAAACATTTCATGAACACCACAAGATCATGCTAACAGGCCTGGGAGGCCCAATAGCCCTGCCACCCAGCTAAGAACCATAAGGGCTGCCTGCACCAGAACCCAAAGCGTCCCTGACCCGGACACTAGGCAGCCACTCCTCTCGAAGGGCACTGGGAAGGGTGCACGTCCATCAGAACGACCTGAGCTCCAGCCCTGTGGGGCAGGTGAGCATCACCACAGCCCACAGGCTGCAAAATTAGGAGTCCAGCCCAGACAAGCTGTCTCCAGGGGACAAACACTACCCAAAGTGACAGGAACACACATCAGCAGTTGGACTGCAAGAGGTGGGTTTGATTTCATGGCTGGGAGTGCCTGGCCTGTCTGGAGCGAGGCTGCCTTGCAGGCTATAAACAGAAAGACAGCTGGGCTGACTTGGATCTGTGGACAGTCCCTGAGGAGGGCGAGGAGCATCTCAGACTCTTCCACTTACTTCCCAGTAAACTCATCATAAGGTGGAAATAGCCTAATTGGAAATGTACCAAATTGCTCCAGTGTTCCTAACAGCCCAGTTTAGCCCAGCCCACCTTAAAGGTATCCAGAACACTTCTAAGAGCTTGCAGTTGGGCAGAGTAATGCAGAGCCTGCTTCACAATGCATCTTGGGTAATTTGCTGAATATTGAACAGGCAGGGAAAGGTAGCATGGTTGCCCAGGTTCACTCTCAGCCCCTCCTAAGGTCCTCAAATCCTGAATGGAACCATTGTAAGTTCGGGACTACGGCCTCATGTGAAGTACCAAAGGTGTCCCTTGTACGGCAGATCCCTCCTGTGGGTCATCTGGTTTAATTCCTATAATCGGCCCCAACCACACCCCCACTTCAAGTGAGGGCACTGAGGCTGAGAATTTTCATGGTAACAACAGACATTTAAATAGCACTTACTGTATACACGTT